TTGACTTTATACATACATACATACATACATACATACATACATACATACATACATACATACATACATACATACATACAGGGGTAGGCAACCTCGGCTCTTTTATGACTCATGGACGTCAACTCCCAGAATTCCTGAGTCAGCATAGCTGGGCTAGCTAGCTCTCTCCTGCCCTTCCTGCTTCCTACAGAGATGCAGCCAAGGGAGGAGCCCTGCCCAATAAGCTTTTCAGCTCGTCAAGAGAACACCATGAGTCCACTCTCTTTTTTACACACACACACACACACATACACAGAGAGAGAGAGAGAGAGAGAGAGAGAGAGAGAGAGAGAGAGAGAGAGAGAGAGAGAGAGAGAGAGAGAGAGAAGGGAAGCACAAGTGCTTCTCTCTGTCTCTGTCTCTCTCTGCAAATGGCAGCTGGGAGCTACATGGGAAGGCTCAAAGAGCCACATGCGGCTCCGGAGACGCAGGTTGCTGACCTGTGCCCTACACTAATCATCGTCATTATCATCAATGGCTTATTTTCTGTTACTTCAAGACTTGATTCATCCACACAGGCAGTCCTTGACTTATGATCACAATTGGGGCCATAATTTCCATTCCTAAGTAAAGTGGTTAAGTGAGCTGGGCCTGATTTTATGACCTTTTTGCCATGGTTGTTAGGCAAATCACTGCCGTCATTTTGGCTTCCCCCATGGACTTTGCTTGTTAGACTAAGCCTCCTGGGAAGGTAGCAAATGACAGCCATGCAACCCCCAGGACACTGTAGCCATCATAAATACATGGCAGTTGCCAAATGTCTGACCGTGGGGATGCTGCGATGGTCGTAATTGTGAGGACTGATTGAAATCACCTTTTTCAGTGCCGTTGTAACTTTGGTCGCTAAATGAGCAGTTGCAGGTTGAGGACTAGTGTAAAATGAAATCACCATCCTCAACAGTAGAGCTCATCATAGTTTAGTTTACAGAACTAGGTTGAAATTTGCAAAGAAAGAATATTGAAAGAAAAGAATTGAAAATGACTGATTTACAAGAGCATGACTGTCCCAAAAGTGCTTTCCCCCCCACCCAAAAAAGGCAACTGGACTTCCTGTTGTTTTATTTTTGCTGCTTCAGTTCTAAGTCAGTTCAAAGTCCAATTGCCTTTTTTTGGTGGTGGGGGAGAAGCACCTTTGGGATAACAGTGACCTGGATGATTGTGACTCACCATAGCCATGCCTCTCTGCCTGTGTAACTTGAGATTTGGGTATGGCAAGAAAACAATTAAGTTGAGTTAAATAGGGATGGGTTGCATGGCAAAGCAAGAAATAGGGTCAGGAATGAATCAGTGCTGAATAAATATGGAGTGATTAGTAAAATCAATGGCTAATATAAAATAAATGTACTGATGTGTTTACTCATGCAGAGAGAATGAATGAGGGTTGATTGATTAATGTTTTATTATTATTTAGTTAGTTATTTATTTGATTTTTATCCCACCTGTATTAATTTTATAAGCATCCCAAGGCGACACACATACCTAATACTCCTTCCTACTTGTACTTACTCTCGTTTTCCTCAGAAGTACAAGGAAGTTCCACAGTGCTCTTTTTGTTTTTGCTACAATACACCTTTGAGGTAGTTTGGAGTAAGAAAGGGATTGTCCAGTGAGCATCTGTAGCAGAAGAAGACCAGAACCTGGTTCCCCCCTCCCCAGTCATAGTCCTTAGACCAGGGGTAGTCAACCTTGGCTCTTTTATGACTCATGGACTTCAATTCCCAGAATTCCTGAGCCAGCTTAGCTTAGCTGGCTCAGGAATTCTGGGAGTTGAAGTCCACGAGTCATAAAAGAGCCAAGGTTGACTACCCCTGCCTTAGACCATTTGATCATGCTGGCTCATTCTATTCTTTCCCTTGGGAAAAACAGAAAAAAACAGAAAACTGAGAAAGGCATGACTGTAAAGAACTAATGAGATCTTCAGAGAGAGAGAAGTTCAAAGTTTAAAGGCAATGTATGAAATAGTGTGTGGATGGAATAGAGCAGGGGTGTCAAACTCAATTTCATTGAGAGCTGTATCAGCATTGCGGTTGCCCTCGGGGGGGGAGCCAGGTGGGTGTGGCCTACTGGGTGGGCGTGAATGGAGTGTGTGTGGCCTGCTGGGTGGGCATGGCCAGCTTTACATCGTTCGCATCAAGGGTGCCTGTGGGGGCCTGGGCAGGAGTGGGACAGATCTGAGGGTCTCTGGCAGAAGGGGGTGGGACCAGGGCAGAGCCCATAAAGCCAGATATGTGAAGTAGGCAAGGGCCATTTGCTGCCACTTCCAGGCGATGGTGCATTTCTTCATTCCTCACAAAGGGTGACACCTCCCCAGCATGCACCCAAGGGGCAGGGCCGACGCGGCAGGGACTGGTTCCCTACTGTTTCTAGACGGCCTTGTGGAGCTAAGACTGAATGTGTTTCAGCATAGATGGCCACCACAAAATTGTATATTGGCTCCTGGCTGGCCAGGGCCAGGGCCAAGGCAGCGGGGGCCATTCCCTCACTGTTTCCAGGATGGCTTCGCGGGCCACATCCGGCCCCCGGGCCTTGTGTTTGACATGTCTGGAATAGAAGATGGAATGGTTTGCAAACGTAAAAGGTTATGGAGCTGTGTTGGTGGTTAGAATGCAGTATTGCAGGTTAATTCTGCCCAGTGCCAGGAGTTTGATCCCGATCTGCCAAAGGTTGACTCAGCTTTCCATCCTTCCGAGGTCGGTAAAATGAGGACCCAGATTGTTGGGGGCAATATGCTGACTCTGTAAATTGCTTAGAGAAAGCTGTAAAAGATTGTGAAGTGGTATATATGTCATTGCTATTGCTATGGAGGATTGTCTTGGTGTATACTATTAGTTAGATTTTTTTTTCTTTCTCCAGTCAGTGCCTTTAATTTCCATTGCAAAACATTTCTTAATCCTTTTTTTCTGTTCTTTCCATTACATATTTTGAAAGTGAATAATGGGTCAAATCCATCTGAAACCATTACAATCTTTTTGAAACTATTGATTTTTCCCCTCCCTTTAAGAACTCAGTGGAGATGAACCCAACCTAACTTTTCTAGAATTAAAATAAAGTCTCATTTCAGAAATTGCAGTAGGTACATATAGGAGGAGGTAGACTTTCAGGTGTCCTATCTGCACACTTTTGATTAATTAGAGCTTTATGTGTTTCATTGTGCTTGGAAATTAATGAAAGTCCAGCTGGCTAAAGTACAGAGTTTTTAAAGTGCAAATCAAATTGTTCTCTGACTATCCCATGTATTGCTTTTTTAGTCTTTTTAGGTACAAGAACCCATTTTACTGGTGTAACCAAATCACATTAGAGCAGCTACATCCACCTTCTGTGTTCCTGAGAAAAGAGAAATACTTTGCTCTTCATTGTTAAGATACACACCAGTCCAGTGGCGCCTTACTTAACTAAGCCTGTGTATATCTAAATGGCTGGGTCTTTGTTAAACAAATCAGAGACAGATAATGTTAAAGATTGAGCTCATCTGCTTAAGAAATCTGCAAAGAATTTTTCTTTACAAGTGTAATTCGCAGGGGAGATGCCACACTTTCATTAAATTATTTTTTTGTGAGTTTTATTTGGCCTATGGGCATTCAATAGGGCATTGATGGTGAACCTTTTAGAGACTGAGTGCCCAAACTGCAACCCAAAACCCACTTATGCATCATTGGGTGCCGGGTGGGTGTGGCCTATTGGGTGGGTGTGGTCCATTGGGTGGGCGTGGCTGTGGTGGTAACAGCAGACTGGGTGGGACTAAAAAGTTCAATCAATCAATTCCAACTTTGCAAGATCTTTTTTTTTCCCCACAAGAAGTTGAAATTGACTGATTGATTGAACCTTTTTTTTTTTGCACACGGCGGCGGAGGCCTAAAGCGAAAACGTTTTATAAAACCCAGCTGAAGGCCTAGGACTGGGGCGACGGCGCGCATGCCCACCAAGAGGGCTCTGAGTGCCGCCTCTGGCACCCGTGCCATAGGTTCGCCACCACTGCAATAGGGCATCTTTTCTAAAAATTCAAGTTAAATTTGTAAAAAGTACTGACATAGAAACAAATATAAACCATGATATGGAGTGTTTTTTTCAGACCGTAGCTCCCCACCACCATCACCACCACTTGGATCAAAATAGTTATATAGCAATAGCATTTACCTTTATATACCGGCCCATGGCACTTTACAGCACTCCTCTGGTTAGTTTGCAATGCAGTGCATTATTTGCATATTGCCACGAACAATCAGGATCCTCAGTTTACCAGCCTCGGAAGACTGGAAGGCTGAGTCAACCTTGAGCTGGTGGTACATTGTTTTTTGTGGGTTAAGCTAGTAGCTATCACACTTCTGGATACAGCTGATCCTGGAATTTTGGTCATTGTGGTCATTAAACAGATCACCAGGTGACCTGGCTTAACTTTATGAGTGCAGGGCAGTGAAAGTGGCTGGGTTGGAGCTTCCCAGGAGTTTGAGGCTTCGTGGGTGTGAGTGACTGTTTTGCACCCTTGAAGTCTCCTGGGCATTTGGAGCTTCACATGGGGCAGCTGCTTTATGCCCCATGGTGTATTCAGTCCTGGGTAACCTGGCTGCTTTATGCTGCACTGTGGAAACTTCCCTGACATTTAGGGGCATTGGGGGGTGGGTGGGAGGAATGGCAGATGGGAGGAGTTGTAGCATCTCTGCGGCCAATCATAAGTTCTGGCAGGCTGCCAAGCAGCCAAACTTTGGTCATGTGTCCAGTAAATTAGTAATATACAGTATATTTTCATTAATACTGTTCTGCGTATAAACTTTCAGTTCAGGAGATATAGATTCAAATGAAATCTGAATAGTTGATGTATAAAGACTTAGTTGAGTGCCACATATACTTTTATTTTTGTCTTCCTAATTTATGTTACTTAATGTATGTATGTATGATGTATGTATGTATATGTATGTATGTGTGTGTGTGTGTGTGTGTATGCTAGGTTTTTACTTGGTTTTACATATAGCTTTATTAGGTTGGACTGAATGGAAGGAACAGTATTACCAAATGACAGAAAATTTTGATTAATTCTATGACCTTTTTATTCAGTAATTTATTAGTTAACTTTTACATAAAGTTGCACGTGGAAAAATGATGTTAAAAAAGATAAATAATGTATGAATTATATTTAGATATGCTTAAAACAGACTTATTGGACTAAATGGGACAAGTAAGTCATGATTCATTTAGCCGCATTTAACTTCAGAGACTTAAGCCAGGATGCTATTTTTAAATAGTTCATTTAAAAGAGCAAGCATTCTATTAGAAAGAGATTTCTAATAGACGAGGTATTCTCTCATCCTTGTTTATTGACCACAACACGGTTGTTAAGCAAAGCAGTCGTTAAGTAAATTTCTATTGTGCTTATGATCTTACTGCAGTTTTTCTTTGCTTTACAAACTTGCAATCTGTGGCCAATCATAAGTGCTGGCAGGCTGCCAACCAGTTGTAAATGCAAGGATTGGTCATAGAGTTACTTTTACATCATCTTCATAACTGCCAGCAGTTGCTAAACAACGACTAGAAACTATTGTCTAAGTATCTAAACAATATACACCAATTATGTGTTTCAGAGCAATTGTGTAAGACAAAAGGAAAAAAAAAGCAGGCCCAGAGAAGTTAATGTTTGTAAAGACACTAGAACTGTGCATATTGAATCTTCATGTTCAGAAAGTTGCTTTCTGTTCTCAGGTCCAAGATGCTCAATACTTATGATGCAGTATCCATCTTTGGAACATACATTTTGAAATGTATCATGTTTTTGGTTCTGCTTTGCCCTCCATAGAGATTATGGTTAGTCCAGATGTGCAGAGCAGTCTATTCTTCCAAATGCCAGTGTGTTTCCAAAGGAACTTCAGCTTGCTGGAGCAACTTTGTTCTGTAATACCTTTCTAGACACTCCATGACAAGTGGGTATGTTGCTGGCTCAAATTTGTTGGCAAATAAATGAGGAGAATTAATAAGCCACTCTAAGTCTCCAAGTCCATAGATGCAAATTTCTCTGACATAATGTCCTACAAGAGAAAAAAAATTACTGTAAATTGACAATCCCAGGCTGGATACCATTCAGCAAGTGAAATATGCTGTAGATCAGAATTAGGAAAAGGAAAAGAAACGGCCCTTTAACATAATAATCTAAAAAGATTAGTTACTTCTTACCCTAATTTGGTTTTGATCACAGATATGTCTATGTATGACATGGATACACATGAAATGGGGGAATAAGAAGGAAAAATCTATGTCTTGGTTTCCTTTGAAAGAAGTTAGGAAGAATAAAGCTGCTTTTAAAAAAAGAAAGGAACCACCAAATTTTACTAGTTGGATAAAGCTCAGCCAATTATATGTATTGGATATGTCTGTAGGTGCAAATTCTTTCTGCTTCACATTGTAATTAAATTCACATTTAGGATTATTCTGTACTGCAGCTTATTGAGTCATCTACAGTAGTTTTCTTAGCGTTGCTTCAGTGGGATTTTGTGGGCTTTATCCCTCCGTTCCCATCAGAATGTCCAGAACGTCACTGCATATTTGAGCACCTGGCAGATAACTTTTCAGTGGTTCATGAACTAGGATTGTGTCATGTTCAGTAATTACCTTTGCAGCCATTGTGGACTTCTCCTTCTTGATTTCTCCACTTGATTGCTCGTATATTTCCTTGCCAAGTTGTGTTTAGAGTAGCACCAGGAGCATCTATACAATCAATTGGAAAGCTTTGTTATACATGTGTTACATTTTGAAAAACAGATTTATGCTTTGGATGTATGAATCATTGTTCTAGTATTGCTGTTCCCAGGGTGAATAGTAGTGAGTTCCCCTATAACGTGTTATATCTGCCTTTACTTGTTTTTAAATATACAACTATACTGCATCTTAAGGCAATATCTATTAATTATTTCATTCTTTTGTGATTCTTGTAAGTGGGCGGCTTAAAACCATTAATAAATACAATTAATTCTAATTCATTTCAGTGAAGCAAATAAGACCACTTATGAAGATGCTATTTTTAAGCAGACTACGGGCTATGAAAGTTTTGGCAGTAATAAATGTGTTAGTCTTTAAGGTGCCATAAAGTTTTTGCTGTGGTTACCAAAGGATACAGTTGCAACATAAAAATAAAGCTTTTTATGAAATATGCAAATATGAGTGTGCTATTTTTTTTAAGTGCAGAGTTTGAAGCCTTTAGAAAATTTTGGGTGAAGTTCCCAGAACCCCATCAAAAGTTACTACAAAATTGCATTTTTCTTAGCAATATCAGTGAAATTTAAATTGCTCTGGTCTCCTCTACATTTTGGAGTACAATCCTTAGCACATCAATCAAAACTAGTACAGCCTTTGGTTTGGAATAAAAGTTCATTTCCATTTTAAAATAAGAACAAGAATGCAAATTCCCATTACAAATACATCAAATACAAGGATTTGATGATACCTGCCCATCAAATACAAGGATTTGATGATAACTGCTTCAGGGCAGAGCTAATGCCTTATATTGTAAGAATTAATTACTTTCTAGGGGCTGTTCTTTTGGAAGAAAAAAGAAGTTCTAGATCACGTGTGTCAAACTCGATCGCATCACGTGACGTATCACAATGTTTTTTCCTTTGCGGAGCTGGGGTGGGCGTGGCCTGTGAGTGACGCATCTGGCCCGCAGGTCGCCAGTTTGACACCCCTGCTCTAGATGTAATACAGATGATTATACTGCTACCTCTGTGGTTTCTTTAGTCAGGGTAGTAAGCAAATCATTGAGAATTTTGAGAGACTGCAGATATGGGAGGATCTCCAACCCACTTTCCCCAAACTCAGGCTACAGAACCACACCTGGAACAGGTTCTCCCATTCTAAAATAAATTGTGCTGCTTACTGTATGCTTCTGAGTCGCAACTGGTCAGAACCTGTCCAGTCCCAGTCTTCAACTTTTAGATATGTCAACATGATCTTTGGGTGACAGATCGCATGTTTCTCAAACCCCCAAATGTGGGCAAAACTCATTGTTGGTGGGCATGTAATATTTGTCAAGAAAAGTCTGGAACATATAACAGCATAGTTGATAGCTAGTATATCAATAACAAAATGGGTTGTATTTCACCTTCAAAGACTGAAAAACTTTCCTAGGCCTAGCAGTCAGGCAGTAAGGTGGAGCCCATGTGATTATAAACTTTATTGGCTTTTTATCTCTGCTGTTCTTACAGGATTTCTTCTGGTGCCTTAATGTCATTTTAGTTATGTTTTAGTTTATTGTGAGTCATCTACAATAGCCACAGTAAGATGGGTAGCCATACAAATTGAATTAAATAGATACCTAGATAAATAAAGCAAGTTTGTTGGTCCCTTCTGATTTTTTAAATTATATAAAGTATTGGGTTTGAAACAATGTGAAATATCACTTTTTTATTTTGCTTTGTTTTAGTATTGCTTTTCTTTATCCCCTCCTCCCTCAAGTTAAGGAAAAGCCCTCCAATTCATGGTGTATTATGAATTTATTTTCTAAATCTGAAAGGCAGACTGAAAAGAGATTTTGGAATTTGGTTAATGGTTTCCAATAGAGTCTCCCTATATCTATCAATATATTATTAAAACCTCTCGTTCCTGTAATCTTTAACTGGGCAAAACAATGCATCATAGGGCAACATTTTTGAATTAAAGTACCTCAAATGGGCTAACTTACAGAATGTTTCCAAAATCTGGGATTCATGACTCCTGTGGAGTTGAAATTTGGCAAATTTTATAAAACATTTTATGCCATAAAAAGTATTAAAATGTATATGACAAAATAAATACAAAAATGGCATAAAACATTTTCTCTGGTGATGTTAATTGTGCAATATAGTTCAACATGGTGTATTTTCATAGCAGATGCATGTCTGAATGTATCCAGTTTTGCAGTGAAGGCAAAGTACCTTAGAAGTTGAAGTCATTGAGAATCTGGTAAAGAAATATTTCTGAAAGGAGGACCTAAGGGTTGTCTAGTATGCAATATTTATGAACAATGTACAGTAGACAAGATAAATTCTATAATTCTGCTTACCTGGTATGTGGTTCAGGGTGACCCAGTAATGCTCATCTGGACTGTAGGTGTCTCTTGACCATTCAAGCAAATCTTTTGCACGTTCATCAGTCAAGGTAAACTCTACAAATTTTCTTGTGAGTACATAGTATGCAGTCCCAAAATATATGGTCAAATTGTGGGGTGGTTCACTTTTCACATTATTAGTTGGATAGACATACGATTTTCCTGAACGTACAAATTCTTGGTAACCGAAATAAGTTCTGGGTTTCATATGAGGTGGCTGAACAATTCCCGGAGTTATATTTTTACCGTTCCATTTACTTTTAATATAGTGTATAAGTTCCTTGTTAGTTTTGATGGGATAATCCTGACCACATAGATTAATAACGTAGTTCCATTGATGATTTGAATGAATCAGGTCCTTCATGCAGTTGATATCTGCTTGCAATCTGGAAAATCCTGCGTAGACAACTTTTTCTGTCTTTGAAGCAATAAAAATGTTTTCAAAGCAGTTGACCAAGCTTTGGACAGCTTGCTTAAAACCCTCTGATGATTTCTCATCAATATGTATACAGTAAACGTTCTGAGGCATGTAAATGGCTCTGAGTAGTTTTATAAACATATCCAACTCCTTGTGAATGGTGATGATGTACGCCAAGGAAAAGTTCCTTTCTTCTTCTGACAGTGGCCTTGTAATGAAGTGGAGCTTCTTCTGCAGTGTAGAGCAGTTGCACGGTGTTTGTATGCAAGTAGACATTTCTTTTCCCCCTAAAGCCTCTTGGCACCGCTGGCCAATTTGAAAAGCAGCTCCTTTCCCATCAAAAAGGGCTGAGCAAAGTTCATCTGGATAAAAACCACACTCTTTCGAGATGAGTTTTTCCTTGTCTTCCTTGAAGATTTTATTCCGTAGATAGAAAACACCAAAGACGAAAATGCAAACCACAATGCAGACTAGAAACCCTGATTTTGCTGTCTCAAGTAGGTTCATCTTTGGCTTTCCAGATGTTTTCTGTAGCTCCAAATGTTCTCCGGAGTTGTTTTTTTTTCTGGCCACAGTTCTCTGAAACTGTTCTACCTAGGAAAGGTTGGGGGGGGGGGAGAGAGCATTTTTAATTATTTAATTTAAATGAAGTTTAGTCGATGCTTCATTCAATTTGAAAGAAAAAAAATACTTCATTGCTATTAAGGCTTCATATTACAAATGCAGGTGTTCTTGAAGACTGGCTTAACTCTCTGCTTTAACAATTAATCTGCTTTTACTTCTTGTGGTTTTGATTACGGAATCTTTCTCTCTCTCACTGACATGAATAGAGATAAACTGTTCTTTCATACAACTAGCTGATAATCTTTTGGATTAGATAGAAACCTTGTTATGGATTTCAAAAATATATTTGAAGCATAACCAGAATTGGATCTAGTCTGTTTTTTACTGTTGATTTTATGAGGGAACATCAGAAAAGACCGAAGTTATAATGAAATCTTAAGCCGTAAGCTGTTTATTTTTCCTTGAATTGCCTGAATTAGTATTATTTTCAAACGCATCGTATAAAATAGAAAGGAAGCTGTCTTGAATGCAGTTCATATTTATTCTGCTTGGAAGAAATTGTGACCTTAGCAACACTGTATTACCTTGCACTGCCGTTTAAAGAGGCTTTCAGAGCAGTTTTAGAAAAAAAAAATACTGTTGCATATTTTTACCTTTCTGAATATGTTTTTCCACAAGTGTGGCTTTGTTGAAATATTAGACGTGCCTCAGTATAATAGTATGTTTCTTTAGAGCTCAAGAATAAGGTCTTCATCCTTGAATCCTTATATGCTAAGTATAGGCAACCCTAGGGGGAAAAAAGATGCAGGAAAAGGGACAGCTTGTTGAAATACTGAGATTCAAACCAACAATTATCTTGTATTGATTTTTCCAGCCACAACAAACACTCAACCAACCCTGTTCGGCAGAGATTATGCTCGCATGTGATGTCTATACCTTTATATGCATGCGTATCTTCTTAACTCGAATTATTTTTTAATCTTACGATATGACAGATAGTAGCAAAAATCTCTAATAATCTACCTCTCTAATGATTTTTGGTCATGCATTGAAGTGCCTGTGTGCTCACCCCCACGTACCCATAAATCTCAAGGCTTCCTTAGACTTGAAATTAACATTTTAACCGGCGTATTAAGAACAACGTGCTCCCATTTAAAACGTACAGTTATAAAAACAAAAAATAACACAATAATATACAGAATGTGGTTCATTGTCCTTACCGCTAAGACCTGGGCTTTCGAGTCAGACAAATGTTCTGTTCCCAAGTTTGCTGTGCTGACGCTGTGTGTGGAGGGCTAGATGAAGGATGCATTCATTTTGCTGTTTAGCCTGATCCTTTTTTTTTTCTTCCCCCAGCCACAGTGTTCTTTGGCATTGCTGCTTCTGCAGGTCGAAGAAAAACATCAGGAAAATCAGTTCCCCATAGAATAGTGCTTGCCTGGAGGCTCATAGGAGTTAGGCTTAGTATGTAAACATCTACATAGCATCTTCTTAATAAGACGATCTGTAAGTATCCACTGAATCAGCAGACGTTCTGTTCTCATACCAACCTTTCCGTGATGTGAAAAAAAGGGTAGGGGGGGGAAGGAAGCAGCGTTTGGAAGGTGAATGCAAACATTTCTGAGGAAAACAGAATCACGCTCTTGAAATGCTGCCCGCTGCAAAATGACTAACACAGCCAAGAATAGATTAATATAATGGACATTGCTTACACTGTAATGAATGTTAGGAGCTGGGAAGTGTGTGTGTGTGTGTGTGTGTGCGGGGTGGTGGTGTATTGCTAGCTCTGGTCTGAAATGGCTGTGTGACAGTGAATAACTTTAAAAAAAAAAAGGAGATCTGCAATCGATGTTGTTTCCTGTCACTGGGGAGATAAGAGCATGAAAGGGCAGCAAATGCTATGCTTCAAACCAACTTAAAATCTTTACTTTTAAAAAGTAAAGGGGTACAGTTTGAATTGTTAAGATCTGTCGCGTCTCCTGAGCGAATATCCTGCAAGCTACCTGGAACCTCTTGAGTTTGTACTCAGCACTTTCACCATTAAAGAATCTGTGGAACTCAGAAGTGTGAATTCATGTCTTATCTTTTTTTTTTCCCTCCCCTCATGCCTTCGTAAATTCTCTGTATGACTAGCAACCTTTCATCAGTTTGATACCGTAAAGGGAACAGTTTTTTTTTTCTGCACAGCATAAGCTAAAAATGGAAAATAAAGCAGGAACTTGAGAGAGAGACAACGATGAATGCATTTAAAGACACACTTTGGTGGGGCAAGATTACATCCTGGAGTTTTGCCAGTCAATAATATTGGACATTCTTCACCATTTCAGAAGTAGAAATGAGAACACCTTTATAAGTAGTCCACTAGTAATAGGCCCAAAAGTAAATTACAGAAGGTTTTCTTAATTCTTAAGACAATGTTATGTTAAGGCAGAATCCACCTCTTGGTCACATGGGCGGCAAACAAATGTAATAAATAAAATAAATGAATATTATTGTATTCTTGAAGTTTTATGTGTTGGCCGTAAAACCAGTATAAGTATAAGGATCCATCATGAGGGCCCCCAAATAACACGCAGGGCAAGAGAAATCCAACCCAACTTGTTTGTTACTGCAGCAATAAAGAAGTACGCTCACTGCCTGTCATCTTCGCCTTTTATACAATATTCAAACAGAAGGAGGAAAATGATTGGAAAACATAGATGCCTACGTAGGACATCTTGCGTATCCCATAATATAAGAGTGGGGGTTCAATTATAATAAACTGCAATAGCACTGGAGCTGTGTTTTTAGGTATCTTTTGTCATAACAGTAGTTCAGCAGTCTTAACAGCCCAATCAATGTCGGTGGAGATTCTCAGTCATCCAGGTCATAGTTGTCTCAAAGGTGCTTTTTTTCCCCCAAAAGGCAATTGGATTGTTTTTTTCCTTGAGGAAGAAGAAGAAAACATTTCGCTTTTCATCCAAGACGCTTCATCAATTCTAGTGGTGGGGGAATGGAAGGATAGGTACTGACAGTTGATCCTGGATGGTGGGGGAATGGAAGGATAGGTTGTGATAGGATGGTGGGGTGGATGGAAGGATTGCATTTCTTTGCAGTCATCTGGTTGTTAGCACTCTCTCTGAGAGTTATTGAGGCCACTTGGGGGTTTATCTATGCCCTGAGGGTCACCTGAATCAGGTTGCAATTGGTTGTGGAATCTTCTTGAACTGCTACAAGGGCCTTATTGTAGACTGGAGATAGGTGGTGTCTTATTCCTCCTTCTGGTGAGAGAGGAGTGTTCAATTCTAACACAGATGGATTCTCTTATCCCTCTTTCAAATCAATGGTCCTCTCTGTCGAAAATGAGGACTTTGCTGTCTTCAAAAAAGTGACCTTTGTCTTTCAAAGCAGATGGACCACTGAATCTTGTCCTGATGGGTTAGATCTCCTATGTTGTGCCATGCTCTTGTGAAGTGGTTGTTTTGTTTCACCAATGTATAGATCTGCACATGTCTCACTGCATTGTATTGCATATATCACATTGCTAAGTTTGGGTGTTTTATCTTTGGGGTAGACAAGCTTCTGCCTTAATGTATTCTTGGGTTTAAAGTATACATGTATGTTGTTTTGGTTGAAAATCCGTCTGAGCTTTTCAGATATTCCTGCAATATATGGAATGACAACGTTGCTACGCTTGTTGTTTTCTTCTTTGTCTGTAATGGAAGAGCTCTTGCTGGGTCTTTTTTCGGATTTGATGAAGGCCCAACCAGTTTTGTCTGGTACTAGTTTGTCAATCCTGGAATTTCCCTACTTGCTATTAGTTTCATAACCTCTTTACTGTCCAGCAGAATATAGGCCACCATATACATACGTTTTAAAAACAAAAAGGCCTATTTTTTTGCCGAAAGATGTGCTAGAACATATATATATGTATGAGTAGCTAGTGTCTTCCAGCTGCATTGGGCCTAAATATTCATCATTCACAGCCAACGTGGCCTTGACTGCAATGATGGTTGAGTTCTAAACCCCAGGAGGGCACCATGTTTAGGAAGGATGTCAACTAAGGCATGTTCCAAATATGCCAGAATGAGATACGTTTCCTGCATAAATTCATATGGATAAATTGATATATCGATAATGGATGAAGAACTGAGCATTTTTAAAAGTTTCATTTGCACAAGTTGCCTGACATAGTGCCTTGCACTAAAGAGGCACAGCCCAAAAGCTGACAGTATTGAAAGGGATGGGATTTTTCAGAGAAGCAAACTTATTTATGCTATTAACTGTCAGAACTTTCAGTGATTGCATTCATGGTTACAAAGGAGAAAAAGTCCCACCTTAGCCATGAAAGCTAGTTGGGTGACTTTGAGCCAGTCACTGTCTCTCAGCCCAACCCACCTTACAGGGTTGATGTTGTGGGAAAAATATGAGATGGAAGGTATGTTAGATATGTTCACTGCCTTGAGTGATTTGTAATAATAATAAAGGTGGGATAGAAATAAATAAATTTTTAAAAAACTTAAAAGTTTAGTGGTGAAGCATGGATTTATGCCAAAAATCACAGACTGCATTCACAGCTTTTTAGGGTTTCATATAAGCAGTACTGTTACATAATTTTTCAGGAGGACTTTGGAAAGCTTTTGCTAATCAGGACAAACAGTACTGGATTAAATAAAAAAAAATCTAATAGTGCAGTACAGACAAAGTCCATGTAGTAATAATAACTTAATGGGGAAAAATCATCATAACTATATATTTATAGCTTCTTTATAAGGCACATAATCAGTTTTGGATTATTACCATTATATATGCATAATACTTTGTATAAAATATGTAATTGAGATTTAATCTTGATTACACATATTTTAGAATATACAAACAGATGGCCCAGTTCAGAATCAATGAGCTTCTTTGTGTATTCTCTAAATAATATGGGACAATTATCATTTAGCCTAAAGTCCAAATTGGGATTAATAGTGAACAATTTTCCAAACAGAATTTGGTTGTGAGATT